GCTACATCAGGATCGGCTTTGAGTCCCTTCTTGTTTGCTATGGTGATGGACAGGTTGACAGATGAGGTCAGACAGGAATCTCTGTGGACAATGATGTTTGCGGATGACATTGTGATCTGTAGTGAGAGCAGAGAGCAGGTGGAGGAACACCTGGAAAGGTGGAAGTCTGCTCTGGAAAGAAGAGGAATGAACGTGTAGTGGTTAAAAATAAACAAGGTGAATGAAAGTCAGTCGTATTAAGACTCAATACATGTGTATGAACGAGAGGGAGAGAAGTGGAACAGTGAGGTTACAGGGGGCTGAGGTCAAGAAGTTGCAGGATTTTAAGTATTTGAGGTCAACAGTCCAGTGTGATGGGGAGTATGGGAAAGAGGTGAAGAGGCGAGTGCAGGCGGGTTGGAGTGGGTGGAGGAAGGTGCCAGGGGTGTTGTGTGACAGAAGAGTGGCAGCACGAATCAAAGGAAAGGTGTACAAGACAGTAGTGAGACCAGCTATGCTGTATGAATTAGCGACTGTAGCAGTGAGGAAAAGACAAGAGGTAGAGCTGGAGGTAGCAGAGATGAGGATGTTGAGGTTCTCTTTAGGAGTAACCAGGATGGACAGGATTAGGAATGAGCACATCAGAGGGACAGCTCGGGTCGGCTGTTTTGGGGACAAGGTCAAAGAGGCCAGATTGAGATGGTTTGGACATGTGCAGAGGAGGGATAGTGGTTATATTGGTAGAAGGATGTTGAAGGTGGAGCTGCCAGGCAAGAGGTCAAGAGGAAGGCCAAAAGAGGAGATATATGGATGTGCTAAAAGAGGACTTGAAGTTAACTGGGGTGAGAGTAGAGGATGCTGAGGATAGAGTTAGGTGGAAAAAGATTATTCGCTGTAGCGACCCCTAACGGGAACAGCCGAAAGAAGAAGAAGACTAACTGAAGGATCGTAATACTGATATAAATGGGATATTTCAATCCTTTATCTTTAATAAATTTTCAAAACACTTGAAACACCTGTTTTCACTTTATCACTGTGTGTAGACAGTTTTTTTCCCTCCTCAGTCTATTTTAAGATGAGTCTGAAACATAACAAAATGTGGAAAAGGGTCTGAAAACTTTCCGTACTGACTGTAAATTTTATGTTCCATCTATGGAACTTGTTTTGTCTCCATGCACTGCCCTCTTAATGTCCCGTGTTTTGTGCTGTAAATAAAAGCCAACAAACAAAGACAATAATGTGGTCCTCCACAAACTGCATACAAGGTTGTGGTCCCTTAACATTTGCTGAATATAAAATTAATAAAGAGTGTAGTGAAAAACAGAACCCAAACTTACCTTCACGTGGGGTCTGGCCAGTAGTTTGACAAGCTCTTTTATTTCTTCATTGCCTGATTTCTCTTTCAGCTCCTCAGACAGCTAAAGAGGACAAGACAAATTTGTTTACACAAAAATCTACAGTGCAATATTTCAGGAAAATCTGTTAAATATGTGGTTAAGAATTTTAAAAATCCCATTCTTTTGTGGAAGTTGTCATATAAATGCTAAATAGTATAATAATATTCCATTTGTGCATCTATTATATTCCCCTCTTTATCAGTAATATTCACTAAGTTATGCTGGAGGTATTCTTGATGACATGATTCAAAAGCAGTTCTGGTTTATTCCTTCCCGACTGTCAGTGGCAGTGAACAAAGTGAATGTGTATCCTCCCGCTCCACACAGGGGAAGATCTAATATAAACAAGCTCACATGTGACATGTAGGCTATCCGTGCATCCTTGCTATAAATACCACATGATAACCTACCTAAGGCTTAAACATTTAAGGCTATCGAGTGTAAGATTTGAGTCTTATAGACTCTAGTTACTTTATAAGCTTTAGTTACTTCTCCTACCTTTAGCTCCCTTTAGTTACTTTTAATACCTTTAGTTCCCTTTCATAACTTTATTTTCCCTGTTTATACATATTACAGCTGTACTGATGATTGCCCAGAACTACTGAGCTTTGGTTATTCTTAATGCATTTATTTTCCTTGCTTATGTATCTTACAATTGTATTGATGAGAATCAAGTAGAATCTGCCCACTTTGAATACTGTAACTTCTGTTGAGGGAGGATGTCTGCAGCTCTGTCAGGTCCGCTCGGCGCGACCTGCCTCTCTTCCACTTTTCTCTCCTCTGCTCCCGTTTCACACCCACACCTAGACTCACATAGCATATCCCAAGTTCTGCCTCACCAGGGGGTGTCTTAAACTCACAGGGGGGCTCACAACCTGAGATGACCACTTGGCCAGTTTAGCATACTTATTAGCATCACACACAGGGGGCCTGCAACCCAGACAACCCATTGTTCTGTGCGCTTGATTAAGACCAAGCTGCCACCTGAGAGACACACACACACACACACACACGCAGACACATACATACCTAGACTTTACCACATTCTAACAAGGGGGAGCTCCGGTTCACACCAAATGGACAATAGGATCAAAAAGCTGTTGAATGTTGTACCTCTGTCCAGGGCGGAGCAGCCCAAGAAGAAAAAATGCATTGTAAAACATGATTCAGGATTCAGAAGCCGGATTTCCTGCAGGAGCTCTATCTCTCTGAATCCAGCGCTGTAAGACTTTCCTGTGATCAGACTATCAGTAAACTTCCTGTTGTTTTTAAACAGTCCTCTACTGTCTTCACTTCTGTTAGGTATTTTTAGTCAGATAGATATTGGATAGATACTTTATGTATTAGAAATGTTTAGTGGTGATAGGATGTCTAGTTAGACTGTTAAATGCTTAGGCATGCTTATGAGTTTCTACAGGGTACATCTGGTCAAGGATAACTAGAGGGCAGAGTTGATGACTGTCAGCAGACACGATGTTTAATATTATTATTATGACGTGTAGAACGGTAGCCTTAGCCATAATATGTTCTTATGTTTAATATCATGACATGTTACTAGAGGTTGTGCGAGAATGTTTTTAGCTACACACCACTTAATCAACAAACACACACACACATTAATTTGCTTTATGTTTTGACTACTGCTATGGCTAGCTGCAAAGCTGGCAACAGAGACGTCTCGGTTGACGTTTCTGTGTAGTATGGGGCTAGCCCAACCGAAGTGATATAATGTATAGGCCTGGTGGGTTCAGGGTCTTTCATCTTACATCTGCCTGCGAGCAGTTTGGAGGTGCAAGATACCTGAGCGTGTAATGTTAATTTTACCTGTGATCCTTTGAATAAATCAGCACTGTTTTGAAGTTACTTGGACTGCCTCGTCTCTCAGAGTT